CCAAACATTATTTCCCTTATAAAAGTAATTCAGACTCTCAAGGGAGGTGCCACAGGCTCCAGCACACAGGTAGGGACCTTACATTGCCTCCTTCTCTTCCTTTGATGACAGCCAGGCTCTCACAGTACCAGATATGGAACAATACAGTCTCTCCCCCTCACCACTACCCAGAGCTGCACCTGGGTGGCAAGGCTTAAAGTAGCTAGAAGGTTCTCTGTGTGACAGTTGGGAACAGGCAGAATTTGGAACCACGTGGTCTAATGCCAGTCTATGCTTGTCAGGAGTACCGATATCACATAACAGATGCCAATAGCAGGCTGTCTGTGATGATCTAGAGCCAGCCTCCCAGACTGGATGGCTGCTTCTTCACCCTCCTTCACTGCATGTCATCCCCACCCCACCCCCCAGCATGCCACCAGGACCCCTGCACTCTTCCTCTGCCCTATCCAAACACTGGAAGATGTGATGTGGGGCTACACCAGACCTGTCACAACAGCTGGAGAAGCAAGTGTGGCAGACTTCAAGTGCATGTGAGGGGGGAGAGAGGGTAAGAGGGAGGGAGAGGGGACTGGGATCGACATGTAAAATAAATAAAAATAATAAATTAATTAATTAAAAAAATCTCTTCTGGCCTGAGCAGCCAGGAGAATGCTGCTGTGTCTGTCCTCCTGGGCGGGCGGCAGGCGGGCTTCCTGCCTCAGCTCTTTGAGGTTTTACCCATTGCTAGTTCCATAAAGCATGGCTATCAGAAGGCTTAGCACCAGGGTTGCAGGTGCACCATTGTGGCCAACCCAGAAGGCATTTCGCTGCTTCACTTCCAGTGCGTGGGCCCCCATGACACCATGTTGACCTGACTGCTCTAGGAAAGGGCATGGCTTCTTTTCATTTGTGAACAGCCAATCAGCTCCCCCTACAGTCTATTTTTAGTCGCCATAGCCTCCACACTATGATATCCAATTCTATAGAGTGAGTTCTGGATGATGCTGAAGCAGGGTATATGAAGCTGGGACCAGCGGGAGCATGATTGTCTCCACGCACCCCACCCAGCACCCGGCCACACTGCCCTGCTTGTTGCTCCCTGACAAGATAAGAACTTCCTGCCCCAGGGCCTACACTTCATCCCTTTTAGGAATGCTTTCCCAGAAACCACCAGGCTCTCTCCCTTTCTCTGTCCAGGCCTCAATAGTTATCTCCTTAAGAACATGCCCAAGGCAGGCTTTGCCTCCTAGGTATCTATCGTCGGATAAGGATATTGACTAGCACCTCTTTGCCTGTTGTCTCTTTCCTTTACTAGCATATAGGGCTCATCCTGTGTGTTCTTTTCGCATGTGCGGGACCTAGAGTGGACGATTGCACACAGGTGGTGCTCAGTAAACCCTACAGACAGTGAGATTATATTCTGAGTGCCTTATAGCCCCTTTCGTGGTGCCAGAATGAGGCACTTGTGGGGACCTGTCTCAAGTCACCTTCCCTTCCCCTCTGAGTTTCAGCCTCAAAAGCCCCTGCTGTTGGCTGTCTCTCCTGTCACCAATCCCTATACTACTCAACTTGAGACTCTACCATCCATATACTGTGTGAATACCTGGTGTCCATGGAAGGTGCCCCGGGTCATTCAGGAAGTTCATGGTGCAGGCTTGTTGGCCCCATTTCTTCTCCTCAGCCACAACTTTTATCCAAGCTGTCAATAATATTCTTCAGGACTACCGCAGCAGTCCTGTGACTGGCCCTGCTACCGCTCCCTCTGCAGCCTCCACCTGTCTGGAGCACAGGAACCCGTGGGACCCTTCACCACACACCTTTGACGACAGGTACTCCTGTGTAGAGCCCCAGGTTCACTTCCCTTTACTCTCAGTATAAAGGTCAAAATCCTTGGTGTGGCATCTGCAAGCAGGAGAGTCCGCCTGGACGCAGTAACACACTTGCACAGTTTGCTCACTACTGAGTTGCCTCCACTCCTGTTGGTGAGCATCAGCCCCTTTAAGCATTTTATCCCCGACACCCATGGCCTCCAATCAACAACCTCAGGGTTAAAGTCTGGAGCAGCAGGTAGATGCACATACATAATGCTCACACAAGCACACATTTGTCAGGCCCGGAAGGATGCTGTTCAGCTGTGTAATGTCAATCTCTTATAACTCTATAGATACAACTCTATCAAGTTCTACCTCATCTCGGCCCCACGCTGGTTGTCTCTTCATTAACCTCAGCTCAGATCTCAGTTCCTCTATCTCTTGCTTAAGGTAAGGGACCTTAAAGTATATGTGACCTCTAACTCTAGATCAGACTCCTATCTACTTCTCTACCCAGAGTATCCTAGAGGAATATCCCAGAGTAGTGCTTCTCAGCCTTCCCAATGCTGCAACCCTTTAGTTCAGTTCCTTATGTTGCGGTGACCCCCTAACCATAAATTTATTTCATTGCTACTCCATAACTGTAATTTTGCTACTGTTACGAATCATAATGTAAATAACTGTGTTTTCCTATGGCCTTCAGTGAACCCCATGAAAAGATCATTTGACACACAAAGGCTTACAAACCACAGGATGAGAGCCACTGTCCTAGACCTTTCCTTCACAGCTTTAGCCATACATGATTACTCAGTCATCAGCTCTCCCTGTCCACAGGGGTAAAGGAGAAGGATTAGTGTATGTCCCTGTAACAGGAAGACATGGGATGTGGGGGTGGACCTAAAGATCCAACAATGCTGGAATGAATGACAAAAGCAGGCATCATGAAGACACTGATATGTGTGTGCGTGGATCTGTGTGCACTCTGGTGTGTCTTCTTTTCTGTAAGCAGTATGGTGACAAGAACTAATAGATCTGGGCACGCATGACTCTTACATAAGCGAACTTACTCTATGTACAAGACCTAGAGTAATTACCTCTTTTGGCAAACACCCCTGCCTCCTGCCTACTGAGTACTGTTTTGGGTGGGTGCGCTCACATAAAGTGAAGCCTCAGTGTTTTGCCGCCACCACGGGCACATGGTTTCAGAGGATTCCTAGCTCCTGACCAGAGGACAAAAGCCTGTGTCTGACTGCAAACAGCAAGTGTATATCACAGACAGTGGGCTCTGCATTCAGTGGGTTGTCTTATTCCCTGATAGCTTTCATTTCCTTGGTGTGGTAGACAGGTCTGTGGTCTGAAACCTCAGCCAGGACCCCTTTCACACCTGTGCACAGGCCCCTGCGTTGTCAGGTGCAGAGTCCAAGAGAAGGATGTCAACAAAGCACCAATAATGCCTGCCGCATCTTTCTTTCATCTTTTGACACTTAGAGAAAGACAAAGATGGGAAGCCAGGGATGGCAGCCGCCACCACAGGAGGATCTTCAAGTGAAGCCACTCCACAATGCCCCCAAACCCTCCACTGCCACAGTAACACAAGCACAGCCTGTCACTCTGTTCCTTTGAGACTGGAGGGTTAGTCCTTAAAAGGCTCCTTAGGGTTCTGACTCCACTGGAAGTTGCATGGAAGCTGGGACACGGCGAGCCTTGGGGCCCTTGAGGTTTGGGGCTGCTTACTCCATCCAGAGAGATGCTTCTGGGTTATGGGGTGGAGGATGCCTGTTTATTTCTCAGACCCATCAGTCAAGACTTCCTCCTTATCCTCAGGCCTCATTCCTGCCTCCTTGCTCAAAGCAACATTACTCAGCATTCTTGACTTCAAGTCAGCCTTTTCTCTCTCCACATGGGACATCTGGCTCAAACTCTGAGTGTTTAGGAGTCTGGGTGTGCATGACTGGGTCTCTGTGGGTGAGAGATTAATATGAAGGATGACAGTATCCTTTTCCTCACCCAGTCTACTAACTCAAGTTCAGCTCACACATTCTTACCACCACCACCCCAAGTTCATCACCATGGGCAGAATAGCAATCATATCCTAACCTCTCATCCACTGATGGGGGATGTCCTTCTATATAAATGTTTCTCTTATTGGTGGATGGATAAAACACTGATTTGCCAGTAGCCAGGCAAGAAGTGTAAGCATGGCTACAAGACAAGGAGAATTTTGGGGACAGGATGTGGAAAGAAGTGGCTGAGGAAAGAGTAAGAGGTCTGGTCCCTTCTCCAGTAAGATAAGACCAGGTAAAAATACTTAGGTTAATAGAAATGGGTTAATAATTAAGAGAGAGCTACCCAGTAAAAAGCATGAGCATCAACCAAACAGTTTATAAATTAATATCATGTCTCTGTGTGCTTATTTGGGGCTAATCGGCTGTGGCACCAGGCTGGAAAGAAACTCAAGCTACATCCCACCTCACCCTCCTTGATCTTTCAGCTGTGGACTGAGCCAGCACAAGACCAACTCAACCCTAAACAGATCTGGGCACTAGGAAAGAGACAGTTGTGTTCCATAATTTCAGCCAGGCCTGGAGGGGTGGGGTCATGATGATTGGCAGGGCACAGAGGCAAGTGGTCACTTGCATTCTGAGGGTTTGCTGCTGTTGTTGGGGACACCAAGCAAGCCTCTACCACACCACATATGAGGATAATGTGCTGAAGGGAAGTGGCCAGTCCCCAAAGGACAAACACTATGGCTTCCACTTCCAGGAGGCCCCTGAAGTAGACAAATCCCTAGAGGGTAAAAGCAAATGGTTGTCTCCTGTACTGCTTGTTTCTCTTCCAGATGCCCAGAGACCCAAAGGCCTGCTCATGGGTAAAGGGGGTTTACTCCACTGCTCCAGCATTGGGCTAGGGTTCCCTTATGGTCATTTTCAACCTTCATGTCTAAAGCAATAGGAGGGCCCACAACGCCTTCTAAGGGAGAGGCTGCATTGGCCTCGCCTGAGCCTGGGTCCCACTGGAACGGCAAGGTAGCTTTCTATGGGACCTAGGCTGGAAGGATGTCGAGGGAGGAGCAAGTGTGAATCTTGGCAGAAGCCCCAAAGACTTTTGGGCTCTGGGAAGGGTCCAGCGGGGCAAGTTCCAAAGCTCTCAGGACATGGCACCAGGCAAGAACCCCTCTCCCAAGAGGATGTGCCGTGTCCACCCACTGACCTGGTTACAGGTGTTGATGTCCACTCCATTACGTAGGTGATCCAGAGCTTTGTCTAGATTTCCCGAGCGTGCTGCCCTCAGGAAGCTGGTAGCAGCATCAGCCTGTGAAAAAAGACAGTGGGCCTTGAGTGTTCCGGTGTGCCAAATATCTTATAGTCCTGTGTGGTCATCTCCTCCTACTGGGAAACCCCAATGCACACAACACCCCATTTGTGCTGTCAGCACCCCAGGTCTGGGTGTGAGGCTGCTTCATAGCTCAGGCTTCCCTTCCTTCCGGTGCTTTGACACATGGTCATCCTTGTAAAGGCTGAGGACTGAGTGATCCCAACCCAGTCCCAATGGCTGAGTTTGACTGCCGCCAAGCTTCAGAGCCTTCCTTTTGATTTTGTTTTGTTTTAACCAAGACCTCACACATGCCAGCCAAGCACTCTGCCACTGAGCTACATCCCAAGCACCCCCACACCCACCCCTGTAGCCCAGCTGTACCTTGAACCTGTAATCTTCCTGCCTCAGCCTCCCAAGTAACTGGGACTGCAGGCCTGTACCTCCAGGCCTGGCTGGGTCCCCTGTTCTTGCTGGGGATCAGGATGTTATCATACAGGCTCCTATGCAATAATCCAGCAACATGGGCACAGAAGCTACCATGGGCTTTGCCTTGTGACTTTAGAAGTAAACCTGTGTGGATATTATCTTCAATTAAAAGCCCTATGGGACAGGTATCAACACTGTGGTCTCCGTTTTACAGGAGAAGTCACTGAAGAATGGAGAGCTAAGGTGACTGTGGGAGGTCACAGTTGAGCTAAGAGGTACAGCTGGACTCCAAGGTAGGCAGCATGGTTCTGAAATCCTAGACTCTTTTGTTGTTGTTGTTGTTTGTTTATTTGTTTTAAGATATTTTTTGTAAGTGTGTGTGTGTGTGTGTGTGTGTATGGAGTTATGGATGGTTGTAAGCTGCCATGTGAGTGCCAGGAACCAAACCTGGGTTCTCTGGAAGAGCAGTAAGTGCTTGTAACCTCTGAGATATCTCTCCAGTCCCAAATCCCAGGCTCTAAACCTCCTTGCTTTCTGGCTGGTGGCCCTTGTCAAGTAGGTGTCCAGCACAGTCCTTCTTCCAATCCTCGCCTGCCATTTGGTCACCTGCTACATGTATAGTGAGACCCTGCTGCCCAAAGCGCCCCTTGACATTAAAGATGAATACCAGCCAGAGAGTGAGAGTCAGGGCAACAAGAGACAAGACGGTGGAGCATGGAGGACTGGAGGGTGGGCAGGGCTCACCATGGCTGTCCTGGGTCCTGATTTGAAAGCTAGGGTACAAAGAAGCCTTTTTTGAACCTTGCGGTGCTTCTGAGAATTAACAGGAAATGCAGAGGATAAGCACAGTAGGTACTTAGCAGACACAGGACATGCAAGAGTACCCTTAACGTGGGAGAGTGGCCAGGAGGCAAACTATTTCTCCATACAATCCCGCCTATGGCATCCTCCCTTCTGTAGGTAAGTCTGTTTTTCTTTTTCTGTATGAAGTATATTCCCAGAGAGCATGTGGTAATGAGTTGTGCTTACAAGGGCAAGTCAACACCCCTGTTCCTACAGTCTGGGGCTTGTCCTCATTTGCAAAGAGTCTGTGAGGAAGTCATGACGGTGTGGCTCTCCAGATGAGATCAGCCTAGATTCCTTAGGCCAGCCCTAAATCCAGTACTCAGTGTCCTTAGGAAAGCAAAGTGGAGGCACACCCGTGGAGACCAGCAGGGACGGGGACTGGAAAGCCTGGTGGCCTCAAAGAGGACAGAATATAGGAAACCCTCCCTCATGCTAGGAGCACGGCCCTGCTCCTGCTTCATTTAGACTTTCGGTCATCCTGATTGGTGGGGAACCAACGCCTATCATTTTAAGATATCTAGTTTGTGGTGCATTGGCATCATGGCTGCAGGAAACTAATACACACGCTGTTGGCCAGACGCCCTAAACTCAAATACTCCTCAACAGTCCAACACTGACCACTCCCCCTATATGTCACCATCAACAGCAAGCACAAGCTGTGGTGGGAAACAAACAAGGACTGAAGCCTGTCCCCACATACTTGCCTATTACGTAAGTTCAAATCCAAGCCCAGATACTGCTCACAACAACCTGCCCGGTCATGCCAGGGTGCCTGATTTTCTCTTTTTGGGTGCCCTGTGGCATTTCTGTGCCTTATCCCTCTAGATCTGCACCTGGCTACTTTCTGAACCCCAGGGCTCTATCTCACTCTGGCCTATGGATTCATCGTTTACCTTCAAGGTACTACTGGCTAGCTCTGCTATACAGACTGCTCCTGGACATTAAGCATTTGGCATCTTTACATCTAGAAAAGGTGGGGGAGAAACTTGATTTTAGATTAAAAGACGTTTTTAGAACATATTGTTTTCTAGTTATTTAATTGTTTGCTTCTTGGGGCAGAACTAAATCTTTTGAGCCCTTCGAAGCATTATTTGACTGCAAGGCCAAGGCCTGCTTCCCTTGGCTTGCAGCCAGCTTCCTCAGTAGGGCATTGGTGATGGAGGAAACATTTTGAAGAGGGGGAGCCTGCCTACAGGCTCCCACAGGCTCCCACAGGCTCCCACAGGCTCCTACAGGCTCCCCATGCATGAGTTCAGTTCTCAGCAGACTCAGACCCACAGCTTCTCCCTCAGGTGGTAGCTATGACTGCTGACTAGGAAAGGCTTTCTGAATTCAACTGGCAGGAAAACACATTACTTATCTCCTAAGAGAAGAGTATTAAAGAGGCAATTCTTTCCACCAGTGAGCTGCCTTTTACCACAATAACAGGATTCAGGATAAAAACCTGAAAGTGGGGGATAAAAATAGAAGCAATCTCAGATACCCCTGCCTGTTCAAAGCCCCAGTGATAGGAAAGAATGACAGACAAGCGAGGGAACGGGGGCCAGTCTGCAGTAGAGTAGTTAAAGGGTTTATGCAGCTTCTAAAGCACAACCAGGGCAATGACAACAGCAAGTCCTAGGCCAAGTGCTTTGCCAACCCTGGAGAGCCTAGGGATGAGTCGAGGTCTCATACATTAGGTTAGGGTGTGCTAACATTAACCACAGCCAGCCAGAAAGGCAGGTATAATAGTTACCCAGTTTTAGAGTTGGTCACACCGAGCTTTGGAGAGATGAATGATTCCCCCAATTCTACAGCTTAGACTTGGTCTTAGAAGGTGTATGTGACTAAGGCCTGTGAGGCCAAGGTGTGCTCTCAGCAGTATGTTTTATTTTGTTTAGTTTTGTCTTGTTTTGCTTTTTCAAACCTGACTGCCCATTCAGGGAATTTTGCCAGGTGTAGGGCACATACAGGTGCAGTTTAGTCCAAGTTGGTCCCACAGGTCCAAGCTATGTCTCTGAGCACTGTGTCAAGGCCAATGCAGGCCTAGAAAGGAATCACCTAGTTCCAGGCCTCCTCCTTTCTGTCCACAGAAGATGATACTAAGAACTATAGACGTTAAAAGAACGGCCCATGCCACCTGGATAGTCAGAGGCAAGGGACAGTTGCCGGGGTTTCCTAAAGGACAGAGTAGTGAGGACACTGCAGCATTCTCCTGGCGAAGTGCACAAACTGATGTCACTCCCACTGGCTACTATGGGCCACACCCTCTAATTCTACAATGGGTTTACTGAGATTCTATTTTAAGTCTGGTACCCTGCTGGGAGTGGGAGGAATAAGGGAGAGAGAAAGGGAAAGCCTTGGGATACAGTGGCTGAGTTATAAAGTGGTCGTGGCATAACAGGGGCACATGGCTTCACTCCACACTCATTCATGAGTGCCTCCTAGAGGCAGATGATACTCAGGCTACAAGGATTCTAGTTGGCACACAAGACTCATCTCTACCATCTTATTCCCCCACCCACCCCCCATCACTGCCCATCTGTCTAGTTCAACTACTCCAGTTTAACTCCCTGTGCCTGTGGCACACAGGGACAGTCCAAATGCTTTAACAGGGCAGGAGGAGTCCAAAGAACCCAACACCACCCATTAAAAACACTGACCTGGATAAATACTAACCAAGAAAGCAAAAGTGACGAAACACAGCATGCCCCCAGTCTCTGATCAACTAGAGCAAAGTTGTTAACCCTCTTGAAGTCCGTTCATCCCCTGCCATGTAGCCTCCTGTGGCTACAATGTGAAAGGAGGCTGGGCTGGGGTCCCCAGAGAAGGCCTGCTCTCAGTCACAAGAAGTCAATGACAGATCGTTTACATTCTCAATCGGTTATGGAGGCGCTCACATTCCCTGGATGCCCCTTTCAGGCTACAGTTGCCATTGTCCCTCCTCACGTTTTTCATCTCACCTCTCACGCTCTCCTCTCCAGCCCCCACCCCACCCCCGGGTGTGTGTGTGTGTGTGTGTGTGTGTGTGTGTGTGTGTGTGTGTGTGTGTGTGTGTGCTGGGATGGAGGGTATCCAGTGTACATTTTCTTACATGTTTGGCCCATATCCCTTCCACTCAATCCCTGTGATGCCTCTGGACTTTCAATGCAAGCACAGAGCTCTTGCTGTGTTCTAAGTACTCAGTTAATTTGCTCCTCCCAAGAATTCCCCAGGGCAGGTTCTTTACCCTCTCCTTCCTCACCAGATGAAGTGACTAGCTCACAAAGAATTAAGTAACTCATCCAATCACACAGCTAGCAGCCCATGGACCAGGGTTTGACTCTAGATAGTATATTTCTAGGCCATCTCTCTAACGGTCTGCTATCATTGTCATGCACCCATAGGGCTCCTAAGCTCAGCTCTAGCTAGAGGACTCTTGCCTGCCTTCAGAGGGTGTGTGCACATTGGAAGGAAGGAAATGGAAGAGGAGAGACCAGAACTGTGGCTGGGACTCAGGTTAGAGAGGGTTATAAAACTGGGTAAAACCTGGCTACCTGGAATACTCAGACCTTAACACTTACATTTCTTGAGTGACACTGATACAGCAACAGCCTAGGAGACCAGTGTCCTAGGAGCATAATAAATGTCAGTATCCTCGTAACTCCAAACATGGCTCCAAACTCACTGTAGGCTGAACAATGTTTCACGCCTCTTCTGGGAGTTGAGAAGGTCTAAGCTTTTCCTGGAGCAGATCCTAACTTCCT